GTAGCTGGGACTACAGGCTCACGATACCAAGCCTGGCTGATTTTTTTGTATTTTATTTAGAGATGGGGTCTTGCTATGTTGCCCAGGCTGGTCTCGAACTCCTGACCTCGAGAGCGATCCTCCCGCCTCGGCCTCCCAGAGTGCTGGGATGACAGGCGTGAGCCACCGCGCCCGGCCTTTAAACCACTCTTTATTGGACTTTGAGGAGGTCACGCTTTGTCATGTGTGTGCGGCGAATTAGCCGACGCCTCTGCTCTCAAACGGAGAGAAGTCAAAGAGATGCCCTTAGTTATCCCACAAATGCAATGAAGTCCAACAGAAACCTACACACAGGTGCAAAACTGGACAGCACGCAATGCAGAATTGTGTATCGCTGTCCTGATAGAAAACCTCTCTGGTCCCTCCTCCCCCAAGCCTGTAGTCTCAGAAAACGTGAAAAGAAAGATAAAAAGTAGTGATGAAGGGCTTGGTCACACGTGCCCGCCCGGGGGATACCTCCTTTGTGGCACGTGGCAGGCTGGGAGCTTCCTGTCCCCTGGAGGCTGGAAGCAGTAGCAGGGGGGATGTGAATAACCTCCCGGCAGAGCTTGGGGAGCCGCGGGAGATTCCCCCAGCCCATGGTCCCCGTGGTCAACAGCTGTGACAAGGTCAACAGCCTGTCCCCAAGGCAGGCACAACCCGGCCTGCTCTGGCAAACACAGACCCTAAAACTTTCCCAACATCTGACCGAGGTCTAGGCTGGGAAAGTCCCAGATAAAGTCCCAGACGACCACAGGGAGTGTCACCATCGGCCTGGGGACAAGACCATATGTGAGTGCTATCGTCCTTTGTGTTGCAGAACAGCAGCTAGGGGACCCCCGGGGTCCAGTCCCGATCCAGCCCAACCGTGTTGTCACGGGGTGTGTATCTCGGGGTGAGTGCAATCACTGGGCGCCTACTGTTTGCACCTGGCACAGAATCGGGCGCAGGACGCCGCAGGGGGTGGCAGGCATGGTTCTGTCCCCATGTCACCCAAGTCCTGGTTGGGGACGGCTGATGACTGCGGAGAAGGCGAGTCTGGAGAGGGGGATTCACAGTGCTCCGAGGGACATAAAGGCGCGTGGTGGGGTAGACGGAACAGGTGCACCAGCCAGGCTGCAGAGGAAGCCCTCGGGGAGGCGACGTGACAAGCAGCAGCCACCAGGCGGGGGGACAGATGAGGACACCCAGAGGCAGGAACAAGCTTAGCACGTTCAAGGAATCGAAACAGAAACCAACGTGGCTTCAGCACGGTGCATGCGGGGGCGGGGAGCGGGGGGTGGGGGAAGAGCACTCAGAGGGAGGAGTCTCCGCGCAGCCTCCCCCCCCAGCCACCCGGAGGCCACGCCTGCAGGCACGGCGGCAGCGCCCGTCCCGGGCAGAAACTTTCCTCCTGTCTCTTTAAGAGATCAGCGGGCCGGCCCCGCCCCCTTGGGAATCCGATTGGTCTGTTCCGCTCTTTTCAGAAACAATCCATTCCTATAGGTTCCCGGGGATTGGGGGCGGGCCTGAGCGCTACAAATAAGGGACCGAGGCCGTTTTTCGCAGATTCGGCCGGACGCACAGGACTGTCCCGTCTTCCGGGTCGCCGCTGCCTGGAAGCGCCGTGTGGCGTCCCGGGCGCCAGCGGCTTGTGCGCGACGCTCCCCGACGCGGTCGCCTCCCCGCGGCGCCGGAGGCCCGAGTGTCGCTGCTGCAGCCGGGTCCGGCGGCGGAGGGGCGGCCCGGGCGGCCGAGCCTGAGCGCGGCGCGGGGCTCTCGGGTAAGCAGGGGACCCGCGGCCCGGGTCCTGCCTCGGCCGGAGGGGGGGGGCCCCGCGGCGGTCCCCCGGTCCCCTCCCCGGGGACACTCACGTCCTGTCCCCTCCTCCTCCTCCTCCTCCTCCTGCACGGTGACCCCGCCGCCTTGCTCGGTTTGGGTGCAACGACGCACCGGAAGCGGGGCCCGGAAAATGGGGAGTCGCGCAGCACGCGGGGGACAGCGCAGGTCCGGGGGGGAGGCCACCGGGTCACCTGGGGACACCAGCGTCGGGAGCTTATTTGGTGCCAGGTGTTGTCCTAGGGGATGGGTCACGAGCGCGCGTGGGGTGGACGCAGCGAGCACGTGGACACGGGCTGCTTCCGACCGGCCTGTGCAGGGAACACAGGCAACCCAGGAGGGCTTCTCGGAGGAGGAGGCGACGCGAGAGAGCTTGGAGGCAGAGGGACAGACGGGGCCCATGGGGGCTCAAGCCTAGGACTGTGTCCGGCCTCCCCCCCCCACCCCCCAGAACATTCAGGGGAGGGGCAAAGTCCCCATCCCGTTTTTGTTTCCAGGGTTTTTTGAAAGTTCCGCAACCTGCTGGGCGGGACACGTGGAGGGGGCCTCTGCTCCCCGTTTTCCCGGTGAGGTTTGGTGAATCCCATTGCACAGATGAGAGAGGGAAAAGCTGAGGCCCAGGGAGGGGAAGGCTTTGCCTTGCAAGACCTTGATTCCCGGGGGAGCCCTGGGCATCCTG